TTTTTTTTTTTTTTTTTTTTTTTTTTTTTTTTTGAGAGAAAAGGGTTTTGTTTGTTTTTACTGTGCGTATAATTTGCAGACATGATACCTCGAATGGTTTTGTTCAAAGAAGCTGTGTTGATGGCTCGGAATGGGAAGGACTCTACAGATGAGGATTGAATCCTTTTATTTTATTTAAGTCATTTTTTTAATGGATCTCGAATAGTTTTATTGGGGTCTTTCATTTATTTCTATTTTTTTACTACTTGATTTTGTATATTTACTACAGTTGTTTAGTATACGAAATTTATGCTGCTTTAATATGTCGTTTTATCTGAGTAGCAGATTTAGAAATTCTATTTGGACTTGTCTCTTCTAGTAATTATTTTGTAACTCTCTTTTCTGCATTGAAATTTAATTATCATGTGGTTTTCAGGTACCATTGCTAACATTTTCTGAAAGCTTCTGTTTTAATGCTCGTTATTTTATCCTCAAACAAGCTTTTATTTTCAAAATCTAATCTAACGTGAGAATTGTTGCTGAAATCAACGTATTGTCACATCGTTTCAGCAAGTTTTATAAGTTTTGTTACTAGCTAGTAGATGTTTAATTGCATGTCTGCAGTTATATTTGCTTTTTGTAGTTTTCTTTTATGCAGATTTTCTTTTACTGTTTTCTGTGTTAACTTAGTTTAAGGTTCTTGTAGCATCTGACTTTAAAGCCTATTTTTTACATGATTTTGAAAATAATTCATATCTCATTATTCTTCTTTAAAATTTCGTTTTTTTTAATTTTTTGGGAAAGCCATGTTTTTGGTAATTTCAGGAGGATAAGAGGAAAATCAGTATTCTAAGTGAGTTTTAGGAAATTTTTTATCTGCTAAGTATCAGCTAAATATTTCGTCATTGTATTCAATTCTTTTCACAGCAAATGGTAAAAAAGTGTTTGAAAAGTTTTGTTTATGCGTATTCATTTATTTGCAACGCACTATTTTCGCTGTCCTGATGTTGCTTTCTTTTCAGCTAGAGTCTTCAATTTATTTGTGGAAGTTAAGTTATTGAAAGTTGATATTTTGTTAAACTTTTTTGAACATTGGAACAATTTTTTACATTAAATTATAACTGACAAGTTCATTTCACATGAGTCTAGTTCTTTACCTTGCTATTTCATCACATAGGATTTGAAGATTAAGACTATCATTTGCATTTTAGAACCAGTCATATTTAAAAATATGGAATTTTTTAGGGATATTGTAAAAGAAAAATTCTTTCTTGTTGTTTTTCTTCCAGTGTATTCCCAAACAATTTCGTTCCACAGTTTTAAAAGAGATTTGCATATGCAGCACTGAGCAATAAAGATTGCAGCTAATTAGTGTTGAGTGATATGGCTGTCTCAGTGCAAATTTGGCACAGTTTCTACTGCTCGCGTAGAGAATGGCCGAATATAGTGGATTGCCTTTCCATATTGAAATTTTAAAAGCAGCTAACAGTTACTGGGATAGTGTCGCCATGGTTTGTCCACTGTTTTTTTTTCTTATAATTTACTTTATCCAAGTGATCTGCGTTGAGAACAATTTGTTGTTATCAGCAGAAAATAAAGATTGCTAGTTCTTCAGTATACCAATTGGTATTGTAAGCAGAGTAACGTAAAAAAATTGAGAATTATAGACTGCAGCAAAATCAGGCAGACAGCTTAAATATAATGAACTCTACACAGAATCTTATCGGTTTGCTACAGTAATGAAGAATCTCGGCGCACAAAAAGGCGATATCATATGTGTGATTTTGCCAAACTGTTTAGAATACCCGGTTATATTCCTTGGTTGTGCTTTGATCGGATGTTCAATTTCTGGGATTAGCCCTTCTGTTACTGACTGTAAGACGTATTTATGTACTAACAATTTTGTCTTGTTTGAAGAATCTGATGTTTATCAAACAAAATTTTTATCATAAACGGATTTTATTATCGTCGTCTTTATTTTAGACGAACTTAATCACTGTTTGTCTGTTACAAGAACAAAATTTGTAATTGTGCAGTCGCTCAGCTATGAAACCCTAAAAGCTAAAGGAAACAACTTAACGGTAAACACAGTTTTAACTGCTCTCTTTAATTGGTTTTGGATTTTTGAAAAGTTTGTTTTTGAATTTTTGGATTTGCCCTGTAATGAAAACAATTTATCGTGGGAGGACAACGAGAGCGTTACAGATTAACGAATTTAAAGCTACTTTTGAAGATATAAGTTAATCAATGAGAGGATAAGTAGGTCTGACTGTTGCAGGTGATAACTTTAGACGGCAATTACCAGAACTGTTTACATTTTGAGAAGGTGATTTCCGAAACAGAACCTAACTATGAAATTGATGAAGGTTTTGGGATTACCTTGGACGACACTTTGATAACACCATTTAGTAGCGGGACCACAGGTCCACCAAAATGCGTAGAGCTAACTCACAGAAACTATAACTGTGCTACTGCTGCTTTACGCAGGTTTCAATAGCCTATTTTAAGTTACATTTCAGTATTTCCCTTCATCGTTTTTTAATGTTTTTTCCGCAATCTCAGCGTGGTTTCTGTTCTGTTCCAGAGCTGTATTCAACGAACTGTCTTTAATGGGCAGGAGAAGTACGTTGGCGTTTCTGCCTTTTTATCATGGCTCTGGTTTTTGGGCTTTATGCTTCTCTCTTCTCGACGGTCATCATAGCATAGTTATAGAATCTTTTCAGCCATCTTTAGTGTTCGGCTGTATAGAAAAATATAAGGTTCGAAAATAAAGAAAAAATTCTACTAATTTTTTTGAAATAATATGATGGGAGCTTCGTTATAGTGGATTTTTAAAACGATTAGTAATTTTAGGTCGATATCATTAATGTTGTTCCAGCAATAGTTTCCTACATGTGTCAAAATAAGGAAGATTTCAAAAAATTTGATCTTTCTTCAGTTACTACCGTCCTTTGTGGTAGCGCACCACTTAGCCGTGAACTTTCAGAACATTTTTTAAAACTTTATCCACATGTCAAAAATTTGTTACAAGGTTAGTGGTCAGATGATATTGGATAAAATGTATTGATTTAAGAGGATGATTATGTCAAAGTAATCCTGAATTTTGTCACAGTGAATAGATTGAAGAAACTGTGTGTTACTCAAATTGTACTGAACTGAGGCAAAGATTTTTTTCTACTTTCTTGGAGAATTCGCATAATAAAAATAAGGAGTTAAATTGAAAAGAAGTACTATTGACTGGATACGGTAAAACTGTTGCACCTGAATTAAGTTGAGGAAAAAAAATATCTATACAGTAACAAGAACTACTGCAAATTGACAACAATTTTTAGGTTATGGCATGACTGAAATTGTAATTTTAAGTCATATAACTCCACTTGGATATTCTCAAAATTCAGAAGATGCAGGTAGTTGTGGCAAGTTACTGCCAGGATTTCAGGCTAAAGTGATTTACTCTTTATGCTTTCTAGCTTTTTTCTTACAGTATTCAGGCAGTTTTCGATCAAGCCGTATCATTAAGCATTTATAATTTTCAATAGAAATCTGAATTTATAAAATATTTAGGCAATGATGTTTCAGATTTTGGATTTGGGCAGTGGGGAGGAAATTCAAAAAGTCGGTGAAGCTGGTGAATTGTGTTTAAAATCAGATTCTGTAATGAAAGGGTACTACGGTAATCCGGAAGCGACTTCTGATGTCATCGACAAAGATGGTTGGTTGCACACAGGTGGTCGTTAATTGATCTACTAGTATACCGGCTTTTGCAAATGGAAAAAAAAAAGAAATAGAACAACTTTCACATGATTCTGTGAAGACTAAATTTATTGTTAATCGTTACCATTCTTTTGCTTCTGTGATTACAAAAAAATGTGAGGTCTAGAAATTGGAGCTTATTCGGAGAGTGGTCCTGGTAATGGTTGCATAGCGTTTAAATTTTCAACAAACGTAACTTACCTAGTGAGCCGTTTTAGCTTAAGTTATTGGCATTTTTAGGTGATATAGTTTATCGCAACCGTAACGATCTGTATTTTGTGGTTGATCGTATTAAGGATTTGATTAAAGTTAATGGGCTTCAAGTGTCACCATCTGAACTGGTACATGAAGAGAATGAGTGTTAAACGCTTATTCAGAATCTTTTCTTTGTTCAAATTTTTTTCTGAACATCTAAACTATTTAATATTAAACTATCGTTTTTTAAAGTCAACGTCACACTTTTGCACCAAATTGTTTTTTATAACGGATAAATTTACGGTTTCTAGGAAAGCGTAATTTTATCATTTCCTGGTGTTACTGATGCAGCAGTTGTTGGAATTTATAACGCGATATCTGGACAAGTAAAATTCACTGTTTTGCTTTGGCATTTATAAGAATGTGCAGGCTTTCTTTAGTCGCCAGAGTCAACAAAATGATTAGGATTTGACATTTAAATTTTTTTAGATTCCAGCTGCAGCAGTTACTTTAAATGAATTAGCGAAACCGAATGTATCTGCAGATGAAATAAGACGTTATGTAAACGGTACAGTTCTTCTTAAAAGACGTTTTTTTTTTTCAGAAAGTATGAGTTGGTCAGCAAAAAAAAAAAGGTTAATTTTTTTTAGATCGAGTGGCTCCATACAAACAACTTAAGGGTGGTCTTCGCATTGTTAACGAAATACCAAAAACTTCAACGAACAAACCAATTCGCTCTAAAATTTTGGAACTGTTCAGCACATTTTAGTGATTCTTCTGTAAAGCCCTTCCCTCTTCATGTCGTCTTAAGGAAAACTAATTTAACAAATCAACAATCTTCTGGTTTTGTTTTTTTGCTTTTGCAATAAATATACTAAGTAAGGACTTTCATAAAAGTAACATATAAAAATAATTTAACTACTTGCTAACTGAAGTAATAAAGCTGTTTTCAAAGACTGCCTTTTGGTTCAAACAAGCACACGTTGAGTAGGCAAAAGTTTGGAGTGCAGTTTCAAATTATTGCGCATTAACAATACTTCTGTCTTCCTTATCAACCTTCTGTGTGGGGTCTCTTATCTCCTCAATCACAGCTCATTGTAATGATTTTTTTAACACTGAAGATATTGATGTAAAATACATTAAAAATTTCTGTTTTTCGATGCAAAAGCCTATGCCTTGCGTCTTGTTGTTTGTATGGGAACTTACCTAGTTTCTGGTTGGTCAAGAGGTTTTTGAATAATATGAAAAGAAAAAATAATATATCAGAAACAGCAGTAAGGCCCAAAATGAGAAAAGGTGTGGAACTCTGAAGAGCGGTTCTGCGAACTTTCTTGCGAGATCATTTCCCTTTCGCAGTTTCTTCCTGACTTGTCCATGACGTTTATTTTCACAATTATTTTTCTAGCTCAAAACGGTATTAATCAGCAGATTAATGTGAAGCTCCAGTTCCCAAATCCGTATAGTTTTTTGCCATTTCAGGATTAATCTCACTCTTTATCTTCAGTAGTTAATTGACGAAACGACATGATCTGTGAGACGATGGTTCGCCCTCAAATGATTTATTTTTGCTTGTAAACTTTGTGCATAATCTATGCACAAGTTCTTGTTAACAGAAGGGTTTTTGCAATTGCTTACTTAATTTTTCAAGCACTCGTGGCATTGTTTACTCAATTTTTTCTTATGCAGTAAACAAGACAGAAAATCCACACTCTTATAACAAATAGTTAACAGAGGAGTTTCAAGCCGAACAAGAAATTAACAAAAAGAAAATGTTAGAATTTTGTCGTTCTTTTATGTTTCAATAACTACCTACCATTAACTGATCTTTGAACCGGAATTTATTTAGCTGCACGTTATTCAACTTGAGCAGTCTTTGTGAACCTGCTCAAAATAGAGGTGATCAGGAATCATTTTTTTAAACTATTATTTGTCGTTTGACTTTGTCAGCTGTGTTTAAAACTCAGTAGCTAGGTGCAGAACAGGTTTGCGACTTTTTTGACGGGACTAATTCAACAGTTTTTGATGATAAAAAAATTTAAAAAGTAATTGTAACAGACTATTTTAAAATTTAAGTTTTTCATGCTTATTATGTACAACGGTTCTGCCTGAACTCTGTGAACGTCAGCAGCTATAGATTTAAAGTGGTAGGTCCAAAAACACTTTACTTTTTTTGAAAAAATGCATTGACAGCCTTCGGCTGAATTGTTGAATAAAAAAATTGCTGTCAATTTTTAATTAAAAATAGTCAGCAATTGTTTACCATTCTTTGATAATATTTTTGTTAACTAAACAACGAAGCTAAATATTTTACTGTAAATTTACATTTCGGTTGACAATGCATAAAGAATGCGCACATAAATTAGTTGAGCATAATCTTATCTTTAACAAATGTAGAAAAAATTAAATAGTTTTAGCTGACAACGCCTATTTGGTACTTTACACGTTTTTTATCTTTTCAGGACACTGGATAATTATTGTTCAGGGATTTTGGTTTTTATGCAGCTTCGTTTTTCAAGGATCGAAGTTCAAAATGGTGTTAATGCAACAGTGAACAAAGAACAAATGAACTGCTGTAGAAGGAGCTTAAAGACCAATAAACAGACTCTAATTGCCAGTTATTTTCTCACACAGTTTAATACTTCAGCAACAATGTACAATAAGGTTAGAGATAATCAACAACACAAATTAATTCGAATAATTTCTAATTTTGTAATTTTCCAATAACATTTTTGAAATAAATAATCAAAGCTTCAAAAAATCTATTAAAAAACATAGTTTGCACTGATTAGTCGCTGTTTTCTCAGAAAACTCTTTTTCTTTGTTATTTTTTTATCTTTTTTTTTTGTTTTAACGTTACATTGCTGATAATCGGTTAAGCCTTAATAATATGCCTTACCAAATCTGTTATACCAAAGCTGAGGTATTTAACTGATTCTTATAGCTCCAATTATTACTGTATCACTACGACTTTAGTAATATCACACTTTCATCGATGATATCAGTTTCTGTCTAACCTTTTGTACAGTAAACGTTTTTTTGTTACAGATTCAAACAGTCTGTTGTTCTCGAAAGAAGAAATTTTTCATTCATGCGTACTACTAATAGACTTTTGTCAAGCCAATTTTCATTGCCTTTTTTCTGTAGTCTGTTCAACTGTTATATGCCTGTTATTTTTCTGCAACAATGCTTTTCAAGAAACTAGTTTTAAATAAAAAGAAACATTGAACTCGTTTCCCTGCTAATTTATACGTATATATATTCTAAGTTTTGTTTATACATTACTAAATATATGTTGTCTTTATGATCTTACTGTTAATAACTAAAAAATTAATGTTTTTTCCCGTATTTCTACATCTGCACACATTGGCTTCATCAGTTCTGCAAATAGCAAAATTGCTTTCCCTATTGACCAAAATATGGTTAGCAAGCAGAACTCT